CATCCTCTTTCCCAGAATACTTAAATTGACACATTTGGTTTCCATCACATTAAATTATAAAGATGCAGTCATCAAAAGGGCAGCCTCAGGATCAGAATGCAGGGCTGGTCTGTGACCCTAACACACCAGATTTCTTTGATGATACTCTCACAGAGAAAAAAAAAATGAAAAATTTTAGAGATAGTAAAAGAAGAATTCAGTAATGAGAAAAATAAATTTGGTTTCTGCCATTATTAACCAGTTAGCCTAGTGATAATGTAACGATCGATTTAAATGTCTAAAGACTGGGGCACATTTTCAACTTGACTCAATCCTGTGAAACAGATGTTTTGTTACTTTATTCTCTGGAAATCCTTTCCTTCATTCTCATTCTTAACATGTACCTGTGTTTTTATTGCTTACTGGACATCTCTACTCTGATGTGCAATAGGCATTTTAAGATTACTGCATCTAGGTTGGATGTGGCGACTCATGCCTGTAATCCCAGCATTTTGGGAGGCAGAGGTGGGTGGATCACCTGAGGTCAAGAGTTCAAGACCAGCCTGGCAAAAATGGTGAAACTCAGCCTCTACTAAAAATACAAAAATTAGCCAGGTGTGGTGGCTCATGTCTGTAATCCCAGCTACTCTGGAGGCGGAGGTGGGAGAATTTCTTAAACTCCAGAGGTGGAGGTTCCAGTGAGCTATCACACCACTGCACTCCAGCCTGGGCCACAGAACAAGACTCTGTCAAAAAGAAAGCTTATTCTTTACCATTTTTCACCATGAAGGAAAAGAAAAAAGAAAAGAAAGAAGAAAGAAAGAGATAAAAGAAAGAGAGAGAGAGAGAGAGAAAGAAAGAGAAAAGAGAGGGAGAGAGGAAGAGAAGGAAGGAAAGAAAGATTATCGCATCCAAAATGAAATTTCTGACTTTCTCTTTCAAACCCATTCTCTCTGTCTTCCCACTTTCTTTTTTGTCTGCTCCATCCTATCAATTTCTTAGGTGAAAAGCTTTGGAATCATTTTTGACTGATCTTTTACCATCATATCTCACATGTAGTCAATCAGCAAAACCAGTTAGCTCTACTGTAAAATAATACACAAATTCTAACCTCTTCTTCCTACGACATAGGGCAGTTACCAAGCTATCTCTTGCCTGGATTATTGTAATAACCTTCTATATGAACTCATTGCTTCTCTCCTTATATCCACTTATGGTCTATTTTCAACACACCAGGAAGAATAATCCTACTACATCTCAATTTAGATCTGTTTCCTTTGCTCACAACTTAACAACATCTTTTGCTTTCATTCAAAGTAAAAGTTGAAGTCTTTACAATGGTCTGTCATGCCCTATACATTTTAAATCTCTTTTGCTTTATGGTTTCATCTTAAAATACTATCTTCCTGGCTTACTTCATTGCAGCTGCACTGGCCTCTGCTCTTTTTTGAACATTTTGTATGTGATTCTACCTTAGAGAACTTGCACATGCTATTTCTGGAATACTTTCCTACCAGGTACCACTTGATTTGCTTCACGTCGTTTAAATTATTTCTTAAACATCACCTTCTCATTGAGGACTTCCATTGCCACCTTGTTTTAAACCGTTACCTCCTCCAACCTTCTCAATACTCCTTGACTATGTAGTTTAGCTTTATCACTGTTTAATAAGCTATGTATTTAGTATGTCCATTTTATTATCTGCATTCCTTATCTAGAATGTAACTTCCTGAAAGGAAGGAATTTTTGTCTATTTTATTCATAGCTCCTGGGTTGCAACAACTCCAGAGGCAACTTTTCTATTGTTGCAGAAAATACATTGCACATATTAGATTCTTAAAAATATTATGTGAGGCCAGCATGGTGGCTCATGCCTATAATCCTGCACTTTGGAAGGTCGAGGTGGGTGGATCACTTGAGCTCAAGAGTTGGAGACTAGGCTAGGCAGCATGGACATACCCCATCTCTACAAAAAAATACAAAAATTTGCTGGGCATGGTGGCATGTCTCAGTAGTCACAGCTACTCGAGAGGCTTAGGCAGGAGAATTGCTTGAGCCTAAGAGGTGGAGGTAGTGGTGAGATGAGAGCATGCTACTGCACTCCAGTCTGGGTGACAGGAGTAAAACCCCGTCTCTCTCTCTCTCTCATGATAAATAATAACTATTATTTAATAGTCATGTAAATATATATATTTTTTGCATAGCATCATGTAAAATTATTTACTAGATAAATAATAACCAGTAAATAATTTTACATGATGCTATGCAAAAAAATAAAAAAAAGAAGAAACCCCAAAGCCTATATCTGGGAAAGGAAAAAAGGCTAGAGAAGTCACATCAAATTATTAGGAAGCTCGGCTTTTGCATAACGTGACTATTATAATATTTAAAATAATTATTTCTACTTTTTAATATTTTTCTACTTTCTTCATTAATGTTTTAGTTTTATTATCAAATAAATAAATATTGTGGTAAAAATTATCATAAATAATAATTTTAAAAACTACCACTCTTGCTGTATTTCACCCTCATCTTCCAGGAAGTACTCTCTGCTATTTCCCACCCTTGGTTCAGACGTCTGCTTGACTCAGATCACCTACAGGCTGTTGGATTTTTTAAATAGAGTCAAGCAGTCAATAGACATTTAGAAAAAGTACAGCATTAATAGAAACAGGAAATTTAATTCACAAAAATGATTTCAAAAAATAAATAAAAGCCTCTTTAGATGGCAATGTGTTCTATTCCAGGTCAGCTTGTCTAAGAGATATGAGCACAGTTTTCAAACTTCATCTTTCCTAAATTGGTGTGTGTGGGGCTGTGAATGTGTGTTCATTTTTTTTCTCTATTTTGGAAAAGGGGAACAAAGCAATACGTTACAAAAATAACAACATAAGTGAACTAAAATCACAGAAATACTGTTCAATTAAAAATAAATGAAGCAAGCTTAAGGTTTAGCTAAGGACTTTCCTGAAAACTGCAAATTAAAAAGAATAATGCAGGCTTCACTTTATAAATAACCACGTATCCTCTCGAACTCACATTGTTAAAGAGAAGCCTGTTCATTTAAACAGTAATTACTTTGTGTTATTGACTATTCTTTGGAGGTAAATTAAAAATAATAGAGAATGGCAAGAAAGAAGTTCATTTGCCAAAGTAACATGATGAAAGCATCTGAAGACCTCCTCTCTTTAACTCTTCCTTTTCCCCACAAACACAAACAAGAAACCCAAATTCCAAACCAGAAAATAAAGCAAAAACATTAGCGAAGGGGTGAACTGACAGGAAATCTCTGAAATGCCTGGATTAGTGTTACTCAGAAAATGTTTGGGACAAGATTGATCCTGAGAGATGACATAGGCCTGTGGTTTGCAATCCAGACAGTATGTTGAAATCCTCTGGGGTGCTCGTGCTTGGACTCTGCTCTCAGAATTTCTGATTCCCTTAATTTGGGTGGGGCCTTGAAATTGGGAAGTTTCAAAAGCTCCCAGGTGATTCTAACATGCTGTTATGGCTAAGAACCACTGCATGGGTCTAATGCCTTTGCTTTATGAATGAAGAAACAGTGGGTGGGGTTCTCCATGGCTCACCTGGCTCATCAGTGGCAGAACCAGTGCTATGTTTCAAGTTTACTTCTCTTTCCACCTAACATCCTTTATACTGCTCAGCCCAGGACAAGGTCTTATTCATTTCAAAGCTGCTTTACCCTGTCTGCATTTAATGAGGCTGTCCCTATGGTAGGTTTCAGTAAACATTAATTAAATAAATTCATATCTACTTTTCAATTGCTGATAATGACCATATTGGAAAACTTAACAATGGAAGTGGAGTATGCAAAACATCAAGGGATTTCCAGAGGTTCAGCATTGAGAAAGTCTCTGATTGCCTATTTTTAGGGCTCAACAAGCCATCCCCACATAACCCTAGAAGCTGCATTGACTTCTATCAAAGTTGCATGGTACCAGCTAAATGAAGAGATTTTAGGGCAGGGTGAGGGTAAATGGGGTTTGTGGGAAAGAGGAGGAAAAGAAATCCAGAGAGGTTAGACCTGAGCTGCATGTAAAAAGAAGGAAACATGTACAACCAGATCATACTAGGAATAATGACAGGCTGAAAAAGGTGGGAATATAGGAACAAAGTGAAGTTTTCCCTTGATCTAAGCAAATATAGAAAGTACTAAACAAGACAAGGAAAGGCTTGAAGAACAATGGCATTCAGATAAAGATGAGCTCACACAGAGGTGATGTCTACTTGGCATGATTCACAATCCAAGTTTTCCTTTGTTTCTTTTCAAGAGCACCAAGTTACTTTATTGCCTTTCAAACTTCCACTAGCCTGGACCTTATCTTCAGATATTTAAATTCTGTAGAAACAGAGTGAGAATTCTGATGCATCTGCTTAATTTAAGAATTCAAATCAAATTGACTGGGAATGATCTTTTCATCTCACCCATCATGCTAATGCCTAACATTCCACATTAGAGCTGCAAGCCTTTACTTACAAGCCTGGTCTCATTAATATGAAAGTTGTCTAGGAACAGGTCACAATTAAGGTTGTATCAGTTATTGATACCTTAAGATAATGAGTGGATGAGTTTAATCACATCATTAAGGGTTAGTTTTGATCAACATCATCACAGAAGTAATAAGGGTTTCCAGTGGCTGTCTTTCACTCTTCCATCTCTATGAGGAACAAAGACACTTCAGTTTGCACAGCGCTTTACCACTCACAAAATATCCTCATATCTTATTATTTATCATTTATTATTGTATGCTCCCTTTTTACAGATGAGAAAAAGTATTAAGTAACATCTCCTGGCATCCTCTTCTATTATCACCCTTGATGAGGAATTCAACTTGAGAGAAATAGGGCATCCTAGCGGGTGGAGCCACTCAAATTTGATAAATGAACAAGAGGCATCACAGTTCTTTCCCAGGAACATGGTGAGTCAGATCCTATCCCAAGCCACCTCCTCTTCCAAGAATGGCAATCTTAAAATAAATGATTAGAAAACAAGCTAAGGATCCTTTTTTAAAATTAAAAAACAGTTTATTGAAAAACAGTAATGCTTTATAGGAAATTTCCATTATAAAACTCCAAAATATCTACTGGTCTGTTTCCAGGTGTGGTAGAAGAGTATAAAAATATTGAAATTTGATAGATTCTATTGTAACAATTCTGTTGGTCATTTTGGACCATAACATTTTTTGTGACATTTAGTAACTGATATCCACATGGAATTACATTCACACATCATGAAGATCTATGTATGTAGCAGAAGCCATTTAAATGTTAATTTCCAAAAGCATATATTCTTGGGTTTGGAAGGCACACTAATATTTATTGGGTTCCAATCCTCATAAGACACAGCAGCTGACTTTCCTTATATGGTTTATTGTGAAGTATCATTTCCAAACTAACTATCCTCGCAGCGTCCGCTGCCAGCAATGACGAGAGCTCAGAGAGCATCACTTAACAGATAGCACCTTACCAGTTACTATGATTCCAAAATCTCCCATGCTGTTGGATTTACCAATACTTAAGTTTTTATTTCTTCCCATTACATCTGCTTAGCCACAAAAAGCCTCAGGCCACACTCAGTACAGAAGATAAGACTTCGTAGAATCTTACTCATTTATGAGCTGAATTTTGCTTCACTGTCTCATCACTTGAGAGACTGGTTAAAGCAAGAAACCCATTTCTTAATATTTTTCTCTATTCAAATATTTGTAAAGCAACACCAAAACCTATGCCGTTAATTCCTTAATTCTTTCCCTTAGTAGAGCACTTTTTAAATTACAAAACCACATTTACATGTATTCTACCTCACTGGATCCCCACAACATCACTGTGAGGTGGGCAGATCAGGAATTACAAACCACCTCTTGCAGATGAAGCAATAAACTGAGGGCAGCCAAGTGCCTTGCTCAAACATAGATGGTGATTGATAGCACCAAGACTCAAATCCAGGTCTTCAGACACCAGTGCCAACACCCTTTCCATTACATCATCTTGCTTAAGTGAAATAGCATTCTGTACAGACTGGAATAGTAAGAGCAGTTGTTAAAATGGAACAGAGCACAAACAACATGTCAGGCACAGCTGAAAGAATGGAAATAGTCTGGTAGAGAGAGGAAGGTACTGAACCACATGAAGGTATGTGTGTAGGTTTTTTTCAGTGACTTCTAAACAGCCAATTGAGCAAACGAAAACACTACATGGGCATATTTCATGTTCAAAGAATACGATTAATATAAACTAATTAATACTTACACTGCCTCTACTAACCGGTTAAGTATCATTATCTCAATTTGGCAGATAGAAAAAAGAGGTAGAAAGATTAAGTGACTTGCTAACAGCTACAGAGAGAATATTTGTCACCAGATTATCACTCCAGAAAGTCTAGCACTTTGTTCAGACAAATAGACCATACCTTATCAGGAAGATGTAAAATACATGATAATTACATGTCGGAAAACAATACAATTAAGGAAGGGGGAACAAAAGGTGGTTGGGGGGGATATACAACTGTGAATAAGTAGTTTAAAAATTCAATCAATAAAATTGTGTTACGACACCTGGGTGAACAGCATGCAGCTACTCAATTGGACAAATATTTTCAAAGCAAACAAGAGTGCTGTGGGTCAGAGTACAGGGATTGTGTGGGAAGGTCGACAGGAATCCATCATTTTGGTCATGCAGAAATATTTGCCTCCAAAGTTCTGACTGGTGAGAAATTCTTCCGTGAGAAATTAAAAGGTAGGCTATGAAATGTGTTAGATTCAGGAGTTAGAGACCAGTGAAATACAAAACAAATAGGGCTTAATGAAAATGAAAGTGGTATTAGATTATGGTAAAAAATACAATAGGTCTATGCGAAGGGCACACATGAATTGAGAGAATCATACTAGGCAAGGCAGGCTAGGTCTTATGGCAAAGACACTGAAAGCTGATGAAGAAGAGTAAATGATATTTGACTATGATATCTGTATATATAGACAAGAAAAACATACCAATAAACTTTTTCATTAATATGGAATTAAATACATTTACCTATTTTTAGAGATATTTTAAGTATGCTAGTATCAACATAATGAGAAGAATATTTTACTATGTTTAATAGAAAAACATGTATATATACATATCTATATATATGTTTAAGGAGCACCCCCTTCCCCAATTTGAGTTTAGTTACTCAGTGGGAAGCAGTAATACAAATGGAAAAATCTTCCCTCCTATATTGAGGAAAGAAGATAAAATAAGACTAAGCCATGTTTAGCAGTGAACATTTTTAACACATGAGTTTTTGCATTTGTTTTGTAATGCCATACTTCAGATTACAATACTCAAAAGTCTAAGATCCTAATGTTAATGATAGTATCTCAATGTCCATTTTTGGTTTGTTCCAACATGCTTGTCTCCTTTTGCCACTGTGTCACACGTAGTCTTTCCCACTTGAAGGCACAGGTTTTGGATAGGGCCGTGGTGTTGGGTAAGAGGTTGTTTTTCGGGGACAGGAACAGCAAAGTAGGGCACCTCCCAGAAGGCAGAGAGAAGCAGCAGCCCAGCCAGTGAAGAGAGCCTGACCAAATTCATACCTAAAAGGAAACACCAATGCACCTGTTAATCAGAGAATTACTGGCAAATTTTCTAATACAATGAAGGAAAAAAATCGATACTCACTATATTTTTTTTCATTGAAAATAACCCCTCAATATCCTTTGGGAAGTACTTTAAGATTTGTGAACATATACTCAAAAGAATGTTTATATTGCAATTGTTGACACTTTGCAATAGTAGATCAGGAAATAAAATGTGTAATACCAGGTTGATTACACAAATAATTCCAAAGACTTTTCCATATATAGGATACTCGTAAAGCATGTTTATATATTTTAGAAGTAGGGTTTGGGTCATGGTTCCTAGGCTAAAACTTAGCACAGCAGGCTTTATCATTAAGTAATAATCATATTCTATTAATAAACTGTTAGAGCAAAATGGAGATAATCAGAGTTTTGAATAGTTGATCTGTTGATCCCAGGTACCTATATAAACTGAAATCCAATTTTTATGGTTTTATAAAGAAAAGGTCTGAGTAGCCCATGAACCATTCTGGATTAAGCTGATCCATTCAAATGTATTAAAGCAGACACTTAGGTGAGGTATCTGTGAGTGATTATGGACAATATGAAAGAGTAGAGAAGGGTTGGTTCTATAGATTATAAGGCCTGAGTCTGAATCCTGATACAAACTTTCAACTGCTGCAATTCTGGGATAGGAGTGTCACCTCTCAGCATCAGTGTCTCCTCCTCTCAAAGCAGGATAATCCCACCTGCCTCAATAGATTGCTTTCAGGATCACATGCAATAATGTAAATAACAATTGCAAAATGCCTGGCAATTTATAAAGTGCTTTCCTGTGTGTTGCTGGTGTTATTACCTTGGTGAAATTTTAGCCTACTGACCTCTAGCAATTTCTGTCCTTACATTGTAAATCTTACGGGATGGGCTCCAACACAAGCATCGCAGTATGTGTTCTCCATATGTGTGTGATTATATGAAAAGAAACACATCTTATCTCTCCAAACACTGAGGATTTTTATCCATTCATCCAAACATTCAACAAACAATAATTATGTTTTAACATCCTGACTGAATGTAGTTATTAGGCTTTAAAGATGTGAAGACAGTGAGATGAAGAGCCTTGTCTCTGATTAAACAATGTTGTTGCATGAGAGCTAAGAATTAGCTCTTCAACTTGCACAATCTGCATCATAAAAAAAGATGACCTTTGTAAAGCCAATTTTACAGTTGTGAAAGAACAAAAAACTTCAAGGTGGTATTTGAACATACTAAAAACATACATCATAGCTTTACATTAAAGATAAACTATTGGGAATGAAGTATTATTATTCATTAACCCCTACAGTAGTATAACTTTTCTCACAATCATAAACTGTGCATTAGTTATAAACAATCATAGGTAGGTGTTGTAAACATCAGAATACACTTCAAAAAGGAAATCTCAAATATATTAACATCTTTATTAATACCTGAAAAAAAAAAGTCCAGTATATCATTGGAAAGTATAGAGCTTAAAACTTTTCTACTTTGGAATGTATTTTGTTATCATCAAGACAGGCTATTAAAGCAATTATCAAACTATTTTTAACATAAGTCACAGATCATTTAAATTGCAGGTTTCACATAAGATTCTGGAAAGCAAATCTGGGAAGCTAAGGCACTAGCAGGACTTTGTAGAACATAAAAGGGTATTTTCTCAGAAAACAAACTATTTTATGCATGAATAGCATTACCTGGCATTGACTGGGGTCATGGGGTCATAGAATTCTTGAACAATTCTATTGCCATACCATGCTGTGGCGACTAAAATAGCCAGACCTACAGAAATTCAAAACAAAAGACTGTCAATCACCATGGAACATTGAGCCTAAATACACAGCCTGTTAAACCAAAACATATTTTGCATGAATTAAATCTCATCAATAGTGCTGACATTTTAATTTTGGTATTAGGGGGATCAGAAGTCCAGATATAATTGATTTCAAGTATCTACTAAAATACAAAAATCCTAGGATGGAGTTAGACATAATTTATACATTTTATGACATCTTTGTCACAAATAATGCTTTTTTGGAAACAATTAGGCAAGTATATGTTGTACAAAACCACTTACAAATACACTGTTATATATTAGGGTACTAAACTACATTTGATAAAACTATTGTCATTATTAGTATAGATAGAATTACTTGCAAAAGGGGAAGGTGAAAACCCTTGTATGTTCTTGATCAAGCTCAAAATTTACATTTCTGCAGACTCAAAAGAAGAATGCAACCAGCTAGATAGCGGTGAGATTAGGACCTGTCTCGGAACGGACCAGAGTACCTGCATTGCTCCTACCCATTGGCCAAGGGAATACCTGGCATAGGCATATACATTGACCTGAGATTTGTTGAGGGTGTCACATCAGATCGATGTATGCAACCCAATCTCAATTTCCCATGACATTTTATATTCAATGATAGCAGATAAATCATTTAGTCAAAATCATTCACTTCATCATTTATGAGAAATACAAAATACTTCACATTTTCTTATTAAAAAAGTTAAGTAACTTTTTAATAGGAATTCTAAGCATTCATCAATATCGACAGATTAGACGTTTTATGGTACTCTCTCTCCCCAACAACAACAAAAAAATGGTCCAATGTAATTACCTCTAAACTTGACAGAAAACCTATTGCTTTTGGCTGCTCAAACAGACCATGTGAATGGTCTTGAACTTGTGACCCTTACTCTTAAGAGAAGTCCCTGAAACTGAAACAGGAGTGACGTAGTAACCTGAAGGCAAGAGAAGGAAGAATGCAATGCAATAAGTTTATTCACAGCCTTTGGTATAAGGTGAAATTATTGGGAATAAAACACTATCCATGTCTTTTCAGACAGGAGCCAGTCTGTATTTGGCTAAACTGAGAGACTGGTCCTTTTAAACTAACAATATCTTTAGCAAAGCGACAGATACTCTTCCTCAATTACTGGTTAAACTGACACATTATACTGGAGCAAAAGCCCCTACAAGTCTTCTGTCAAAAAGAAAATAAGGCAATAATGTCTATTCTGGTTTTCTCTTTTCTTTTCATTTTCTTTTTTTTTTTTTTTTTTTTTTTTTGAGATGGAATCTTGCTGTTGCCAGGCTAGAGTGCAGTGGCACAATCTCAGCTCACTGCAACCTCCGCCTCCTGGGTTCAAGCGATTCCCCTGCCTCAGCCTCCTGAGTAGCTGGGACTATAGGTACACGCCACCACGCCTGGCTAATTTTTTGTATTTTAGTAGAGACAGGGTTTCACCATGTTGGCCAGGATGGTCTCCATCTCCTGACTTTGTGATCCGCCACCTCAGTCTCCCAAATTGCTAGGATTACAGGCAAGAGCCACCACACCTGGCCTATTTTAGCTATTCTAGTTTTTTTCTATTAGTAGATTTATGTCATTAATTATATCTGTTATTTAAAAAAGAATATAATATACTAATACATATGTATGTACATACCACTTAATATATACAACATAGAATAGTCTATTATTATAGCTATATAATATATATGGAGATATATATAATACAGTGTATATATATAAAGCTATATATACACAAAGATTGCATATATATGTATATATACATACACATACATGTAAATATACATACACTATCATTTTTTAAATATACATTATTATAAAGCTTTGAAATGCTTTCCATGTTTTCTGATTTTCTCAAATGACACATAATGTAACTTATCAATCAACACTTGAATTAAAAAACACACGTTTATTTTCTTTCATTTTCTTTCTCTTGCTTTGTTGCTTAGGCTGGAGTGCAGTGGTGTAATCTCAGCTCCCAAGTTCAAGTGATTCTGACACTTCAGCCTCCAGGGTAGCTGGGATTACAGGCACGCACCACCACGCCCAGCTAATTTTTGTATTTTTATTAAAGATGGGGTTTCACCATGCTGGCCAGGCTGGTCTTGAACTCCCAACCTCAGGTGACCTGCCTGCCTGAGCTTCCCAAAGTGCTGGGTCTACAGGCATGAACCACTGTGTTCAGACTAAAAAGCACAATTTATTTTCAATGGAAAATTTAATATCATTATTTTATCAAAAAATTAAAGATATTTCTGTATTGTTTTCTTTCCTAACTGCTTTAACCTGACCATTCCAACAGGCCACCTCTGCTCCAATTGACCTTTCTTTTCATTGATATATGGGTACATCCTGTTTATTCTAGAATTAGATCTGCCCAGCTGGAATGCTATCCTTATTTTTCTCCAATAATCTCAATCCTTCCATCCCCAATAGACCTGTAGAGTTCACATATTCTTGTGTTTTCTCTCACTGTTCCCCCTCTTTTCCACATAGTATCTGTGGAGACAACACAGGAATTTTCTGAATTGCAAAAACTTCCTCTTTAGTGTTTTCTAAATAGCCAACAACTTTCTTCACTGGAAGATACTGGTTCTAACAAACGTCAACCAAAGACCTGTCAGATGTGAGCAGAGATCTCAAGTTTTCATTCAGTTTGTGTTTGAGAACACGAAAGTCAACTAGACTTCAGGTGTATGTTTGCAGTTTGTTTTAGAGACTGAAATGAAATGTAATGAGTCCAACACAATATAAGGAAGCTGAAAACTAGATTTCAGATCATACCAGGAACAGGCTAGTAAGATAAAGGAGGGCGTTTTGTTTAAATTCTAGATTTACAGCATCTATTACCTGCAAGAAGAAATATCACGCCCCCAATGACAGCCATCCGCATCTTCTGTACCTCATCATCTTCCAAGCACTTCATACACTTCATGCCAACGGTTGCCACAAAGATTGCTATCACTCCCAGCAGGATGCCAACCACCATCAAGGCACGGGTTGCTTGCAATGTGCCTGGTGGAAAACATTTTAAAACATGTAAAAAATATGCTTATACCAACAAGAGAAGAATGGAAGTATATGTCACTGTTGTATAGAAGAGAGAAAACTGGACTAGGAATCTAGAGACCCCAGTTATAGTGATGTTTACACTGGTAACGTAACATATAGCATCTTCTCCAGAAAAGCATATGCCAGACTGGGGGATGAAAAACAGATCCTTCCATTCTAACATTTTACATCTTCGACATTAAATTCAAAATAAACTGGAAAGATTATTAATGATCTAATTGAATGAGGTTAGTTTAACTGACATGTTTAATGTTTACTAATGAAATTTAATTGTTGCTAGGATAATTTTAAGTAACAATCATATGTACTATCCCAGATGTTAACTACTCATAACCAAAATGGTTTACACTATAGTATAGATTTGATACTAGTCACCAGCTTTATGCTCCCATCATCAAGCTTCAGAAAAATTAGGTGAATTGGAAGATAAAAAGTAGATGTTTTATAGATTATCATGGCTGGATAAGCAACATTTGTATCTCCAGTGATGTGAATAGGAAGAGTCGGGGAGAATAAGGAAGCTATTTTCTTAAAACAAAACAAAATAACCTTTGAGATGTTACCTTGGAACATAGTAGTAGATTCATATTCAAAGACATCACCAGGTTTTAAAACTATTTAAGCTGTCATGTCGTAAAATAGCACACGCAATAATTCAATGTAGTATTTCTCAGGATTCCATTAATTTTTCTAATTTCCTGTTATTATTTTTGGTGCACTAACTCATGATCAGATAAACAGAGTTAAGCTTGAGAGATAAGGTCAATAAGTTTCTTAAAGAATACAAGCTTGATGCCATCATTGTGGCATAAAGGCACAGACTTATAAATATGAACTGAAACTATGCTGGTTAGAAGATTTTGTTTAAATTCTAGATTTACGTCCTTCTTTAATTAAAGATCTCTATATCATTCACAGTGAATATGTGACAAGTACTTTTGGGATATATAAGTATTTTTTATCTTTAACAAACTACGTTATCTTGAGCAAGCCACTTAGTATTTTTTGGAATATTTCTATTATATAAGTAAAATGTAAATTGTCTTTATCTAGTGGATTGGAACTTCATGGTCTTGAAAAGTGGCTAAGATGTTGGAAAGATTTTGTATCTCAATATCTAATTAGACCTAGGATTAGCTTTAATATCTTCAAGATTGAGAACTTAGGTTACCAATCATAATTAAAGCTAAATAGTTCTAAAACTTTATTAAATCTTGATTTACTGATTTTCCATCTTTGCTATAACAAGGCAATGTAGGATAAAATTACATAATCTCTCTCTTTCTCTCTTTTTTTTTTTCTTTTGAGAAAAGGTCTCACTCTGTCACCCAGGCTGGAGTGCAGTGGCATGATCTTGGCTCACTGCAACCTCCACCTCCGGGGCACAAGCAATTCTAGTGCTTCAGCCTCCTGAGTAGCTGAGATTACAGGCATCCACCACGACACCTGGATAATTTTTTCTTTCTTTCTTTCTTTCTTTTTTTTTTTTTTTGGTAGAGACAGGTTTCACCATGTTGCCCAGGGTTGTCTCTAACTCCTGAGGTCCGGTGATTCAGCCCCCTCAGCCTCCCACAGTGTTGGGATTACAGGTGTGAGCCACTGTGCCCAGCTGTAACCTCTTTCTAAGAAGTATCAAAGGTATTATTTACAGTATTTGAGCAATATTTTGGAAGCTAAGGTAAAGTTTTACTGATTTCATTTAAAAATAAAAAAAGAGACTTCCTGATTCCCCTCACACATTGACCTCCTCATAAGCTTGAATGGGCACACATGCATACTGACCCACACACTTATCTTTAGATTCCAGGTGGTAGAGGAACTGCTGGATAAAACACATGTTCCATGGACCACAGGCTTACCAGGAAGGAGCTGAAGCTGCTTATAAGGTTATTACAAAACTTCTTCCTTGGAATCACAAACCATACTGTGGTATGAAGAGGAAAGTACCGAGGACTTCATGGTTAAGGTATGTCCTCTTTCTGATGGGTGGTTTTGCAAAGGCTATCATTAATGGGAAATAATGAATAAAATAACTAAACCATGTATAACATAGATGTCAGATATAATCCTAAGATTACACTTGGAAGGAAAATATTTCAGGCAGAGATAGGCTGGAAGGGGAGATGCTGAAAGTAGCAAAGATGATCCATGTCTGGAGAATAGGGAAACCACATATCTCAGTTTGCCTGGAATAGTCCTAGCTCCTAAGTTTCAAGTCCTACCTACTTAGAAGGGCCTCAATCCTGGACAAACTGGAAAAGCTGGTCACCCTACCCTAGGATGATAGGATGTGCAAAGTAAAATGAGGTTTAGCAAGGTGGGTAGAAGGCATATGTCACGCAGAGCTCTGCAAATTGGAGTAAGAAGTTTAGATTCTATTCTAAGTATAATCAGAAGTAACATGATTATCTTGAGGAAGAGGTAACATGAATTTTACTGTCAGTATAGAGATGACACAATCAATAAATATTATTTCTATGATAGTCCTTTTAGCATGTATAGCATCTTACATGTCACAGCCTCCTCCATTTTATTTTTTCATAAATACTGTTTTTCAACCTTTTACTAATCATTTTAGATATTTTCTCCGATCTTGCTCCAAGTTTTTCTCTTTGTTTAAGCAGTGGTGCCCAAAACTGGACTCAGTTTATATAATAATTACACTGATCTTTCCTTCAAGTAAAATCAGAAGGCCACTCGTCCAGTGGGTCTGAGCACTTAGATCACAGAGTATTCTTTAAGAGAAGTCTAACTGGACATCTCATGAATCAAACTGTATAAAAGCACTGATCTCCCAGGCAAGGAACACATGTGTATAAACTACTCCAGGGCCCTGCGTGCATCCATCTAGAATGATCTAATATTCACATTTTAATCTCTTAAGTTTTTGCCCATTAAGTTCTCAAGGAAAACACATTTGATTCATGTCAAACCTATCTTGCTGCTTCATCTACAAAGTGTTCTTTCCAGGGTGCTGGGGACTGATATTCTGTTCTATGATTGCTAGTAAACCTACCATGTTTCGTTTCTCTATAGAATAATATATTACTTGCATAACACACAAAAATAGTGGAGAAAATGGAAAACACAATACTTAAAAATTACATAAACCATAGAAATGAGATTTTCTGTTTTGTTTTTTAAAATGTCATTTTGCAAAGTAACATTTTCATTTACATCCTGGAACAATTGACTTATGAAATTTACTTGTTTGTTCCAATATTAGATTTGCATCAAACCCCAAATCTTACTTTGTGTTATTGGAGACATTTACATAAATTCTTAAGTATAGTGATTTGTGAGGAAAATGTAAAAATAATATACACATGCAGTCATACACAAGAAACTGAGATTTAAAATAACATGAAAACTCACAAGCAAGGCATAGGTAATGACACATTACAAGTCAAAGTAAGCAACTATTGTCCTACAAGTTACGAGTGTTTTATGTGCAGATCAAATCTAAATTGCACAGTTTTAAGCTGGAACCAGATGAATACCTTCATATCATGGAAGCATTTTAAGTCAGAGGTCTAAAGTATATAATTGTGAACTCCTGAATGATCTGAGTCAGATATTTATTCCTATTTCCATCTAAAGCACCAAGCACAGTACTTAAAAAGTCACATGGATTTATTAAATTTCACTAAAGTTAAATTAGAACATGTCTTTATTCTTTACAAAAAACTGTATCAATATGATAGGTAAAAATACTTATTGTATTGTGTTTAGCTTAATTTTTAAAATAATACGGAGAAACACCTCCCTTGAGACCCTAGTATGCTAAAATCTTGCTACAAAAAGCCAGACTTAGCTCAGGTCACTAAAAACGAGAAACTCATGCAGAGAATACAAATTGTACTTTTTGCATAGTTTGATCTCTCTTTTAAAGTATGCATCTAATAAGCTTAAAAGCTGAAGTTTTATTTTGTTTTCCCCTAGTGGAATGATGAGTAGCAGGACAGAGAAGTTAAGAACGATGTTTAAAGGCTATAAAATAATATTTTGGATGAGATAGATGTGGTATAGCCTTGCAATATTAACTTTGAACTGGTCTGATTAGAACAAATCTAGGAAAAAATGTATTCCTTTTCTTGTCTCTTAAATTTGCAGATAACTCTACAGTATTACAACCACTGATTAAAGTTGTCTATGAGAAACCTGGCTTAGTAAATGTTCAAAAAATTACACTGTTTTTTTTTTTCTCATCATTATTCAGCAGTAAACAGAGAAGGCAGTCTTTTAATTATATTTAGCTAGACTGATAATCTTGAAATTAAAGACCACCTAAGGAGTTCTCATAATTTTCAACCTGAAAGTATAATTAAAAGTAAATACTTACAAAGATCTCTACTTAGAAGACAAGAAATGAGTTGGAAGTTACTGATTTACTACAGTTAGGTTAATCAACTAATGCGTAGAAAGACAAATGTGGAAATTTTCTAAAGTTTTAAAGTCTTGCTACACAAGCAGCAAATCTACTATCAATACTGGACATTGTTTATTCTATTTTCTAGCCATGTTACCTTAGGTACTATATATCATAAACAAAATACAGTCATCTCTTGGTATACAAGGGTGATTGGTTCCAGGACTACCCACAGGTAAAAAATATGCACATGCTCAAGTCCTACAGTTGATCCTGTGGAAGCCTTTTATACAATAAGTCAACCCTCACTACATGGAGGCTTTGGACCCCACAGATGCTGTATTCTTGATCAGTATTGGTTGAAAGAAATCCACCTATAAGTGGACCCTTGCCATTCAAAGCTGTCTTGTTCATGCGTCGACTGCAGATTCCAGTTACCTGTACTCCCACGTAGTCTCTCTTTTTATCTGTAGTTGCTTAATAAGTATTAAGTGAATAAATGGACTGATGATTGGGTGACTAAAACAAAAATACTGTACTTCCTTCTCCCCTTCAATTACATGAGCTCAACACAGACCGTCACAGAAGTGTACTCCCTTGACTTTTTCCCTTATGAAATCTTTTACTTTTACTGAAGTTCAAAGTTTCATAAGAGTCCTCATTGTTAGTGTTTCCCTCTTATTGGTGCATGAGGTGGTGGTCACCAGCTGTGACCTCAGAACAGAAGCAGTATCAGGAGTGAAAATGATCCTGGATGAGGCAGGATGTACCACTTTTCAGGATGTCCTCAGAAGTTTTGCTACCTTTCTTGTTTGTTTGTTTCTTAGAGAAATTTTCTCAGAATTAAGTTGATGCTTCCATATTATCTCCACCATACTGACTTAATCATTCCAATCAAGGAAACCTAAGCTATGAGACTTCTCTCTTCCCCGTCAATCACTGAACTAATAACAAAGAATGCTGGCATTGGAAGGAATCTTAGAAATCATCTTAGCTGCTTCATCCCTAGCAGCAAGAACAGGGCCTGGCTTCCATACGTTGAATGGATAAATGAATCATCGATTCATCGCCCCATCCCTCCTACTCTGCCCTATTTTATAAGTGGGGAAACTTCTTGAACCCAGGGAGACCAAGTGGTTCACCATTATACACATGGCTATTTAGTGCAAAACCACAGTAAGAGTAGAGAACTTCTGATCTCAAGCCTGGATTTTTGCTTCAACTTCCATTATTCTAAGAGTCAGAACTAATTTATGAAGTGTATCTGAACACCAATGGCCCTTCGAGTATCCTTGGTTCAGCAGGCATAAAGCAGCCTGGGGAAGCATAAGTGGGTGCCCTCCTCTTCATTTATGCTTCAAAGACTGTCCAAGTCAGTGATTTTGTCTCTCTGATTGAGCCTGACATCATGGTGAGAGGCTGGGAAACTTCACAGCCACCAATACTCATTAAGCACACCTACACACATGTGGATTCATGCAAAGCAAGTTAAACAGGCTAGAGAAGCTTATAAACAAATTACAGAATCTCAGGGTTAAGTGAGATTTAGAGAGAGTCTAGCCAAACCTCCCATTTGTCTGGTGCTTGGATCTTCCCTACAACATTCCTTCAAAATGCTTATTTACTCTCTGCTTTGCACACCTCCCACCATGCAGCCTCCTACAGCAACCTAATCTTCAGACAGCTCTAGCTATTAGAGTCAAGTAAGAAGAAGCAATTAACACAGCACATAAAATTGGTGCTAGCTTCCTGAAAGTTTAAGAATTAGATGAAAACAAGACAAGGTGTACAGGTGAATCAAGAAAAGTCTACTGCAACTGTATCTGGCACTTTTTCTATATTCCAACTTTCGGCTACAAGAATGACCAGGGTCAATAAAATCAAGTACGTTGGGTGAAATGGAAATTATGTCAGCCATTGTAAAACTACAATACACAATGTGACATTTGTTTCCCCAGGAAGTTTCTCAATTACATTTTCATAAACTGCTTGGCAAGAACTACCTAAAAGAAGCCCTGCTCTCATTTTGTATTTACTGCGCACACTATTAGCACACTGTCTTCCTTTAGATATTTTATGAAGGTCATATGCTTTTTACAACTGACCCTACATCAAAGCAGGAAATCAAGATATTTTAATACGTCCAGTGCTAAAACCTTGATAAAACACTGTATCTGTACTCTAAGACATCAAGTGTGCTCTACTGGGAAAGACAGCAAGGTACAATTCCAGGAAACCCACAGCTAAGCTTTTCACCTAAACACACTCAAGGAAATGCAGCTTTTTATGAGGGATACAGCTTAAATATGCACACATAACCCTTTTCCTCTCTAGATGTAACAAAACTATACCAAAACCAGCCAATGAATCACTACCCCAGATTTCTACAGCTGGTGGGCGTGAACATCACTGCTCAGGCAGAGAAATGGAGAAAAGTTTCCTGGACTCCATCCAAAAGCATCCAGTGAGTAATGGCAGGTTAGGAGAGAGAACTTGTGAGTCAAGGGGCTCTCTCCTGAGAACTGGTTTTGAGAGAAAAGCCTAAGCCACATCTTGGATAAATTATGGCTTTCAGTAAAACAAAAGTGGATTCTGATCTGGAATTTTTTTTAAAAAATAGGAAGATATCTCTAAATTGTGTGTGTGTGTGTGTGTGTGTGTGTGTGTGTGTGTAGGGGGGTGGTAGGTATTTAGTCCTTTCACCACAGTTTTAAAAAATTCTAATAACTATATTATCCAAAAAATGAAAGTAAAATGTTTTAACACATTATCATGTAAGGATGATCCATTTGAATACTTAAAACATGGATCAATCTGATTTCATTTTTTTATTTAAGGAAGTTAAAAGAAAATCTATTTAAAGATGTTGAAAATGGACTCTTTTGACCAGAGCAATGAAACTGATAGTGAGACCTCTCTGGAATTGTTCTTAGAAACTTCTCCAACCTCCAGTTCCTTAATGTGGTACCTAAAATGCCCGACACCGTTTCCTTAAATATACTTATCTCTCCATGGAGAAATGCAATAATTATTACCAAATTTTTCATTTTCTAAGTACAAATACAACCTATGAGGGCAATGAGCAATACATAATTACCAAAGTTATAGATTGGTTTTGGTGTAAAGAGGTCCTAATATGGAAACCTTCAAAAGCTGAAATAACACTCAAAACGACCATGCACATTGAGCAAATGCCACAGGTATTCAAGGCATTTAAACAGATTTGCAACAGGTTTAATAAACGATACAGCTTTTGACATACACTATTAAAAGTTGTTCTTTGATAGGAGGTGAAAAAAACAAGTTAAGTAAACTTGAACAATGGCAACACTTCTTACCCTTAGCACACCATAGGGGCTAGTGGGCAGTCACGTTTATCTAGGCAAAGACTAAGGGACCTTTTCTTCAAGTTAGTTAAAGGAAATAGCAAACACATGATATAAGACAGTTAATGTGATTTCTCAAGGAAGATACTCCAGCGGTGAATCATTATTACCTAAGTAAATGGGAATTTAATGATTTTTCTGACAATACACTCAAAACCAGGCATCCCCAAACTACGGCCCGCGGGCCGCATGCGGCCCCCTGAGGCCATTTATCCGGCCCCCCGTCGCACTTCAGGAAGGGGCACCTCGTTCATTGGTGGTCAGTGAGAGGAGCACAGTATGTGACGGCCCTCCAACGGTCTGAGGGACAGTGAACTGGCCCCCTGTGTATAAAGTTTGGGGATGCCTGCTCGAAACTTTTAATTTAAAAAATTACGTAAAAACAAAGATCCTATTATCCTTCTTCCACCGTGCTTAGAAATATGTCTCTCTAGACAATCCTTTCCAACTTGACAAGGAGTCACCGAACATCCATTACACAGAAATTCCTCTGTGGAAGATAGAAACCTAAAAAAGACACACCTCTTCTTTCTTTCTCACTGCCTCCCACTCCCAGCTGACCTCTCATTTCATCAGCTGTGACTATTTTGCTGCATTTCCCTTCAGTGTTGTTACTTTTCCCTTTGTATCACGTTGGGTAGGTTATTTAGAATCTTTCTTGTCAGCCTTCTGCCACCTGCCACCAACCTTCTCCTTCCAAGATAGCACTACACAGTCAGACTCTACTGAAGACTTTGGGTCTAAAAGTTAAAACTTTGTGGGAATCTCAAGCGGCTTCTCCAAGGAGTCTTGCAAGGGGCCTCCCAGCACTAACTGAATCTTAAAAATTCAAAGAACCAACCTCAAATATGAGCAGAAGACACTTATCGGACATTTCAAGTAGGGATGTAACTTTTACTATGAAAAATCATAGTAAAGATTTTAAAAGTCTATCTAATACTTGAGGATTTTTCAGCTTGCACACTTGAGAAGTTACCAGGCTCCAAACTTTTTAAGCCATCCCATTTTCTTGTCTGAACCCTACCAATCCTTAATTTACCCCTAAAATCTTAGCATGCCTAGGAAAGGCCTAAGAGCTCAAGTTCAAGTCTGGCCTTCACTCTCTCAATCTCGACCCACCAGCATAGGAATTTCAGATAAAGCCACAGCTAGAGTAGCAGAAAAGTGTCACCTAGGGAGTTAGAGGACACACTAGAGCTTATGCCTGGGCATCCCTTTCCTCAAACCAGGATTCTCTTCATTTGCTTATGACAGAGCACCTCATCAGAAGACTCGATCCACTCAAGACTGATAACCAGGTAATCACACAACAAGAATGAGCCCATAAGGGAACGGCAGGGGGACTGGGGCCTCCGGACGGCGGCCGTGAGGTGGGGGTGCACTCACTGCTCAGATTCAGCAAGGAGTCAAAGACTTTGCACTGGATCTGCCCGGTGCTCTGCGACACGCAGGACATCCACAGCCCCTCGTACATGGCCTGGGCGGTCACGATGTTGTCTCCGGCATAGGAGTAAATCCTCCACTGGGGCAGGGCAGTGCTGACGATGGCGCCGACCCATCCCAGGAAGGCGAGGATGAAGCCCAGCAGCTGCAGCCCCGCGTTGGCCATGGCTCTCGCTCGGGCGCCCGCGCCGGCTCGGGGGTGGCAGGTGCAGAAGGCGGAGAGGTGGCAGGTGCGCAACGCGAACTCCCGAAGCGGACCCGGCCCTCGCGGAGGAGCTGAAGGCGGGGAGCCCTGCTCGCTGCGCCGCCGCTGGAGAAGCTCCGGGTGCGGGTCGGGGTCCGGGCCCGGGGCGGCGCTGCGGTCTGGATACCAGAAGCTGCGGGGGCTCCCGGGCTCAGGGACCGAGACGCCAAACCGCTGGGCGCCGCGCTTTAAATCAGCTCCGCGTCCGCCTCCGCCCCGGCAGCCGGGAGCGCCCCCTGGCGGTTTCGGGGTGGCTCGCCGGGAGGGGGCGGGGAGAACGCGGTGACGGGGAGGGGGGCCTGGGGACCTCCCCGCAGGACCAGGCGCCAGAACCGCGTCCCTGCTCCCTTCTCTCGTGGATCTCCTCGCTCCTGTCAGGCGTTTCCCGCTTTTCATGCACTCGCTCCAAGCATCCAAAAATGACCATGCACTGTACCTGCAAATCCTAAGGACAACGATGAAGAAATGAGCCCTCAAGAGCTGCAGTCTGAGCTGTAATATTTTTTCCCAGTATCTTATTGAAGGACATGTATACCCAACTCCGCATCTCCTCTCCCATCACACACACTTCTCTCTCCTTTGCTCAGCTTCCTCCCCTTTCTCCTTTCCTCTGCCCCCTTCTGTCAGGGTCTTTCCATGCCTTGTCTCTCCGAGGGCCCACAGAGGTCTTTGTGCTCTACAGATTGGGAAACTGAGACCCAGAGAACAACATGATTCACACACACACACACACACACACACACACACAGACAGACACGAGCATATCACTACTTGGCTCCCCTCCCAATCTGCTTTCCACTACATATCAAATTGACCCCAAAATATGCCCTTGAATCTGTGACTGTCCTTTCTGATGTATTACAGTCCTTATGAAAACGCAGCCTAGCAGCCCTCCCCCCCCAAACACCAACCTCTTCCCCACAGCAGTTATGTCTTAGGGCAGCAGTTCATTATCACAGGGACCTGGCCAGTGGCCCGCTCTCCCCCAAAGGTGTTAATTTTGTGAATTATCCAATGTTGTTTGTCACAGGTGAGGGCAGGTAAACAGTGTTTCCCCAGTGGAGAAAAGACTGGGCTGGAGTTTAGGAGGTCTGGGCTTTTAGGAAGTTCTGGCTTTCACTGCAACTGGCTATGCCACCCCTCCCATTCTGGTCTCACTGGGACTTTAGTTTCCCTCTATGGGTCTCTAAAGCTTCCTTCTTTGTAGTTAGTCAGAAGTGCTGCTGTGGTTGGGAATAATTGAAATGTTTTCCCAACTGCTTTTTGTGTGTGGTGCGAGAGTGGTGGGAGGGGACGCTTCTATGGTTTTAGTAAAAGCAGAAGATCCTTAGAGGCAGAGATAAACATACGACGGAGAAAAGAAGATACACCCTTGTATACCATGGGCAGCTGCTAGTTACTGACAGAGAAGGAAAAGCACAAATGCTCAAGATGGGAATGGGAGGAAAGGCCAAGCCCTCCCCATCATTTCCACCTGGCTCTCTCTGGATGCCTTTTGGGACAGCTTATAGCTAAAGGACTTGGCCATGCTAGGATTTGGGGACAAGCAATGAAGAATGTAAGACAGGTGCTAGATGAAGACATTTAATTTGGACTAAGTGAGATTAACACAGTGAGGGCTGTCTTTCTTCCATCAGCTCTTTAGAGCAAGACCATGTCCACGCCGTATCCCAGGGCTTGGGCCTGCAGTCAGTGCTACTTTCTAGGTCCAGATGGATGTTCTGTGGGTGCCTGTCACTGTGGATGAAGACGTATCAATCACATTTGATTCTGTAAAAATTCCCCTATCAGAGAAGGTGCTAGAATTTTCTGTAGGACTAGAGCAGTACCATTTGAATCATATAATCTCATCTTTTTTTTGTTCCAAACATTTCAGAATCAAAACTATTATCAAACACCCGGGCATGGTGGCTCAGGCCAAGTGCAGTGGCTCATGCCTGTAATCCCAGCACTTTGGGAGGGTGAGGAGGGCAGATCACTTGAGGTCAGAAGTTTGAGACCAACCCAGCCAACATGGTGAAACCCTGTCTCTACTAAAAATACAAAAGTTAGCTGTGCATGGTGGTGAGCACCTGTAATTCCAGCTACTTCAGAGGCTGAGGCAGGAGAATCACTTGAACCCTGGAGGCAGAGGTGGCAGTGAGCCGAGATGGTGCCATTGCACTGCAGCCTGGGTAACAGAGCAAGACCCCATCTCTAAAAATAAACAAACAAACAAACAAATAAATAAATGACATTATTTGAGTCCAGTAAATATATTTGTGCACAGGCCCTTTTAATCTGCATTAGGACTTATTTCTATCAATCTACAATTAGCAGGGAATGAGAGGGATGAGTTCTGTGGCCAGCAGGGACTCCTGTTTTTGTTTTTTATTCCAGGTCTGTATGAGGCTGATTACTTCACTGCCCACAACTGTGTTTGTGAATTGAGGTGAATGCTGTTTGTTTTACTGTCATCCATGCCCATCTCTGGCATTCTTAATCCTGTCTAGTTTTCTGCTCTTAGCTGCCGTGCAGAGGACAGGGGAGATAACGTCTCAGCATAAATCAACTCAAGAGGAAAAACAGCTCACAAACGCTGGCTTTTCATGTACGAAACCTAAACACTCAAGGCAGCACTGGGACCCAGAAGGCTCTAGAAAGACTGGCAACGGTGTGGTAAGTGTCCTCGCCTGCTGAGTAGTAAAATCTGCTATGTACCCTCAGACAAATTACTTCTTTTCTTCCTCAGTTTCCCTACCAATAAAAGTTATGGGGTTAATTTCTGAAAGCAATCCAAATCTAAAGCTTTATGACTCAAAGTAATGATAGCTGACACGTGTTGTTGTAGATTTTCATCAAGTGTTGAGCTCAGAGTTTTATATGCCATCCCTACATGCAGGTAACAGAGACACACAGAGGTCAGGCTGCTTATCCAGGGTCGTGTTGAGTATGGCAGGGCTGGAATTCCAAATTATGTAATTTGACTCTGGTGCTTATGCCTTTAACTGCTTTCCTATACTATTTCTCTGTGTGACCCAAATCAATTGAGGACACCTTCTATTTTTTTTTTTTTTTCCTTTGGAAGGGCTTAGTCATACTCATGTGTTTCTCATTCCAGGCAGTGGCAAGATAGTTTACTCTGTGACTGTCTCTTCTCAGTATCTGTTGCAGCCCACTGAGATTTTGTACCTTGGAAATTTAGAATCCTGTGGCAGAAAGTTGTTGCTGCTGTGGAGGGAGATACGTGTTAAAACGGCAGATAGCCTGCTGCTTTATTCCATCTGCTTGTGTGGCTGATGCTTGGACTCAGCCATGATCTTTAGAACCAGTAATAAGTAGAAGAGATATACACCAAAAAAAAAAAAAAAAAAAAAAAAAAAAAAGATAGAAGGAAAGGTAAGACTAAGAGTCAGAAGAGTGTAGACAAAGAGCCAAACCCCTAAGAGGTAGCATGGCAGATTCTCAGAAATGGTTAATGATGAGAGTAAGAAAGCCTTTGGGATGTAGTTTTTTTTTGTTTTGTTTTTGTTTTTTTGTTTTTTGTTTTTTGCTTAGTGATAGTGTATGTTAATGTTGACTTTTTAGGGCTTCTTAGGTGGTAAAAGCAGAACCAATGAACACATTACTAAGTAAGCAATCTACTGTGTAGTTATTTAGGGCTTGACAGAAGGATCAGAGGACAAATATTGTAAAAATTTAACATGAATTTTAGTATTAAAACATACAGGTTACTAAAAATACAATGTTGCATGACTGACACAACCTTTTAAAACAGCCCTTTGAAACTCCTTGGAGTTTTTGAGGGGGTAGTTAGGGGTACCGGCTAAAAGCACAAACTTTTTGAATCCTGCTTCTGCCACTTAAAGTAACCTTGAAAATTTTTCATAACATTCTTCCTGTGGCTTAAATTTTTTCTTCTTTCAAATGATTCAACCCCTAGTGCTGTTATGAATGTTAAACAAGTTCATACATGCCCATTATTTAGAATAGTAGTTGTTATATAGCAAGCTGACATGAAACAGTACTTATTATTTCAAGCAGAAGAGATACATTTCATTTCTAATTTTGCCATTTGCAAATGATCTTCATGTTTGTTTAGAAGGACCCTTTTGTGCCTCGATTCTGTTATAATCCCACTTAATGTCATAGTTAAATCATAGTGAAAAGATATGCAGTTTCTCTAGAAGGTAGACACAATTTTGTGTTCAGAAAAAGAAAAGGCAGCAATGGCAGGGATATGAGCTTTAAGTGAGATTTCTACGTCCCCTCCCTAAGCCTTGCTCACGGTTTCACTCTAAGCCCTGTAGAGTTTTCCTGGTTAGGACTAATGCCTGAGGGCTTCTTCTGAGGAGGGGTTGGCCAAGAGGGGAATGGTGATGTGATGTCAAATGACTCTCACAGATCAACAAGAATCTTTAGAGGGTAATGAGAGAAAAAACAAAGAAACAAACAAAAACAGAGTTTGATATTTTTATTATCGAGTATCTGCCTTGTTATCATGGAACATAAAAACTCCCCTATAGGTTCGCCCCTTAACTCCTAACCTAGCAGATCCATCTCTGCAAAGAATTTGGAAGGGGGTGGAATTTTAGCCATACAATCTTCTATTTGAGTCACAAAATGTTACTTTGAAACAAGTTGGTGGAGGACTGTTCCCTTTATCTTTTTACTTGTGTCATTTGGGGAAGATATTCTTTATCTTAGAGATGCTAGAAACATGCAACTGGTTTGAACAAGAGTCAAGGTCAAATTGGTAATATTTTACTTGTAATTTCTTTAATATAACACTACCTTTATTAGTCGGGGTTTTCCAAGGAATAGACTATATGTGTGTATTTGTGTGTTTGTGGGGAAAGATGAAAGAGAGAGAGAAAGGGAGAGAGAGTCAGAGATTTATTGTAAGAAATTGGCTCATTCAGTTGTGGGAGCTGCCACGTTCAGCATTCGTAGAGCGTTCCAGTGGGCTGAAGATTTGAATAAGAGTTGATTTCACAGACTAGAGTCTGAAATATTTTAGTCTTTAGGAGAATTCATGCTTTTCTGGAAAGCCTCTGTATTTCCCTGATTGAATTAGGCCCACCAAATTACGGAGGGTAATCCATTTTATTCACAGTCTACTGATTTAAATGTTCATCACAGCTAAAGAATACAGCCACATCTAGGACACCATAGCCTAGCCAGATGAACACATAAAGTCAACCATCACACTAACATTTACTGATCGTTTAGATTC